CTCGCTGCCGAGGCAGTTTTTACGTTGTTTTTGGCTTACCGGCTATTGCTAGTGACTCTTGAAAGCACTGACTGCCCCGTCTCCCTCGCCTCCCTAAACAGAGCCGGGCTCTTCCCTTCTCGTCCAAAGCAACATGGACCTCACTTGTTTTCCACGTAGCAATTTTTTTTCTTGGTAGTATCTGAAGCTCTGTTGGATGAAATGCCCAATTATACTGTAAATACTGTACTTTAAGGTAGGGTCAACGCTTACTTTCACATACTATATGCTACTTTGCTAGAAGTTAAAGCTGACCTTGCTCTTTAAGAAGGAAAGATGATGATTTACATGAAAATGGTACTTGCTGTCTACGTGTGCTTTTATCTTTCTGAATACTCAAGAAATGATTATTATTCCATAGGGTCTTCCCAATAGAAAACCAGCAAAAATGTTCGACGTTAAGGCTTGGGCTGAATACATTGTGGAGTGGGCTGCAAAGGACCCATATGGCTTTCTTACTACAGTGATCTTGGCCCTTACACCATTGTTCATAATTAGTGCAGCACTTTCATGGAAGCTTGCAAAAATGATAGAGGCCAGGGAGCGAGAGCAAAAGAAGAAACAGAAACGCAAAGAGAATATTGCAAAAGCCAAACGACCAAAGAAGGATTAAAAGGGGAAAAATAGGCCTTCCTTGTGCAAAGAATCCATTTTTTCAATGAAACACTCGTACATTTTTCTGTTGTAACTGTCCTTTGATACTTGATCCTGTTATTTCTTGAAGTATGAAATTTAATCTCTTCAATGTATTTTTTTTTTCTGCTGAGATGACTTGCGTGACACTTGTTAAAATGATTTAATCTACTACTTGTGTTCTAGTGCAGGTTGTTTTTCTAAATTTGCATGTTAAATTAAAAAAATGAAACTGCTGGGTGGCTCTGGAGGTAATTTTTTTTTTTTCCTTAGCTAAGCTATGACTTAACAAGTGTCTTAAAACTGTCATATTATGGGGATAATGTGAATGGTAAACTGGATTAGAGAAAGGCAAGTGTTGGAATACCTTCAGCAGAGCCTTCCTCCTTCAGAAACTGCCTTCCAGGTAGCAAAATGCTGGCATACTCGAAAAAGTCGAAGTGGGGTTTGTGTTGTAAATATGCCAAGATTATTTAACCTTAATTCCAATCTGTGTTTTTCTAACAGAAGTGATTAATTTTTCAAAGCCTAATTTTCATAAATTGTCTAGTTCTGAAGAGCTTGTGGCAGTCATTGGGTTGTTAGACTCTGCGTATTTCTAAACAGCAGCACAGAGTTGTGCTTTCTAGCAACTAGTCCTTTATTATGTTTAAAAATAAAACCTTAAAATAATACCATTGTTCAAATAAGGAGACCTAAAGAGCTGGCAGACACCAAGGGGTATTAGAAGTGGGAAGTCTAATCAAAATGACTTGAAGTAAGTGTGAAGTATTGTTAATCCTCTGTCAGTTTTGTTGCTCAAGTCATTCTAATGATGCTTGCTATTTCAGCACTACAAATACACAGGGTTAAGTCTCCACTGTTGTGTCTCAAGTTTTGTGAGTTGTGTATGTGTTCCACCTTTGATACCTAAGTAGCTTAAAACACATGGAGGAGAACTGATGAAGGATGCAGTGCATAAATAAATTTGATACTTTTTCAAAAAATTGTTTGGTCTTTATTTTGACTTGAAGTTTTCAAACATCATTCATAAGCAAATAATCTGCACATTTTATGTATCTAAACTATGGCCAAAAAGATCTAATCATTATGGGAAGTCTCCAAGCATACATTAGAAAGAAAACCAATTTTTCTTTTAAAGTATTAATGACAGTCCCTTGTCCCAAACCCTATGTTATTTTCCAGCAGTTTTACCAAGTGCTTCTATTATAGTAGTTATATGTAGCTTAAGTCAGCCTGATTTTATTCTGTGCTTACTCCTGGCTGCAAATCAAACATTCAAATAAGTTGATTTTTTTCTTAAAATTTAAGTTACAAGAATGTCTCTAACACTGTGTGTAGTCAGTACAGTGTCGTAGTGATTCCTGTTAATAAAATCAACTTTTCAATCCACTTGCCAGAGGAAAGCCACTGCCACTGCTAAGGGAATAACATGCGTTCTGAATAACTACCTTAAGCTGATGCCTAGATTTGGGAAAATTTAAGTGTACTGATTAACTAAAAATTATTACATCGAAAAATTTTAAAAATAAATGAGTCTTCAAGGAAAAAACAGTTTAGAATTTAAGAAAATTAAGTTAGCTAGAGAACCTTCTACCTGTAGTTCCAGGAGTAACTGATGAAGAGCAACTGTCAAAAACAGATGAACTTAGTTAAACATCCTGTTTTTCAGTAAACCCAAATGTTTTACAGTACCTTGTCATGATTAAGCCTATTTGAACAGTTCCGCAAAAACAAACTGCTTTAATACTACTTTATTGCACACTCATGTGTATATATAACAGCTGTTTATGTTGTCTGTTAAAATATTTATCCATTAGCAGTATCTGTACATTACAATTGTTTATTTATTATGGCTACTACCGCTGCCTGGTGGCATCCAGGAGCCTGGCTGAAAGGTGCTCGCGGTGCTTGTTGGATCTTGTGAAGGCTCCTTCTTCCCGTAGTAAGGGGCTGATGCGTGGCCTTTAACACGAGTATGAACTGGTTCAGCAACAAGTCCCTCCTTGTATTCCTTGGCCTGAAGCAGCTTATCCCTTTCAGACACATCTTTGATTTTCTGTTTCATTTCTTCTCTGTATTTTTCATTCTTAAGAATCTCCTAACAACACAGTAGAAAGATAATTAGATAAATCAGAAGTAAATTCAATACACAATGCTGGAATAAAACATTTTAAGCAATCATTCTTTTTCTTAATTTTATAATCCAAATTTTCAGGTATGTAGGTAAAATAAAGCGTGGCAAATTTTTTTTTCTACAACCGCATTTTCAGCCCTAGTTTAAAATGTTCTTAATGTTTTGATCACATTGAAACAAAACTGCATTGTGGTGTTCCAGTTTCACTATTCTATTGGATCAAAAAGGAAAAGAGTAACAGTCATCAACAGATGTGAAAATGCATTAAAAATAAGGCTACCTTTTACATTGTTTTCTCTGTAGGACTTGCTACTATACACCTATTTATCACTTGCATTTCTTCCTCTAACTGGCCTATGACTTCAGGTATCTGTGCCCCAGGGTGGTGCAGTTTTGGGAGAAACGTGCAGCCTTGACTCTGCTAGTAGAAAAGCCAAAGCCATACAAGACCAAGAAAGAAATAATAATAAAAAAATAATAATTAAGCTAGGACAGAACTGAAATGACTGAGATGGCACTAGTAACTCTGGAGAAAAAACAACGGGGCTGGGGACAAGCATAAAATATCCCTGATGGAAACCCTGCCCCAGAAACTCCGAAGACAGCTCAGTGAGGCCAAGGACTAGCATGGTCCAAGAGGCAAGGGAGGCCAACACACTCTCAGCTGATGACTGCCTGGCCAGCAAAGGTGAACTGGGTGTTGTGATGAGGATACTAAACACAACACTGCTTAGGCAAGCTGTACGTTAACTCTAGGTATCTACCAGGTGTGTAGGCTAAAAAAATGTACTGAATTCATAAAGGGTGTAAAATCATACCTACTGCCACTGCAGAGGTAAGAAATTCAAATAAAATTGACCTAGTTTTAGAGGGTTACCTCCACTCCTGATAAACTCAAGCAACTATCTGATGCATGATCCTACCGCAAGGATGAAAAACCCACCCATGACGTGTATTCAGAGAAGGCTCGTACAACTTGCTGGTTCAACTTTGTGAAGCTCTGTACTGAAGCAGGGCTGGGTACACGTTAAAGCTGGAAATTCACTAATAAAGATGACCTGAACTGGGATTTGGCTGCTTCCACTGAGAAATGCTGAGGCTATTAGTTGAAGCAAGTGCAATTGCTGGCTTGTCCACAGGTATAACAGAAAAACAGCTGTTAGTAGACCTTGCCATCTTGTTCAGAGGAAAATACAAAGAACTCCCAAAGTAAACACAAAGAAAAAAAGCCCTGAAAAACACTGGTTTAGTTTTTATCTGTTAGCATATGTTTCCTATTAGAAGAATGATTTGCAGATTCTGCTAACAAGACTTCTCTCTGCTTTTGTTAGGGCAGATAGTGACTATTAGAAACAAAAGCAGAAAGTTGATAAGAATTTTTATAACGCAACTTAACTGTAATCAACACTATGTAACAAGGAAGCTGCTAATATCTACGTTTAGACTGGGATACAGGAGGAAAAAGGCTGAACAGCTTTCCCTGGATTGTAACTACATGGAAGAGCTAAGGAGAAACTAGACTGCTACACTTCTGAGTAGAAGACCATGACATGATTTTAGGAATGGCATTAAAATACATATGATTTTGCTAAAGTTGACATAGCAAGTATGTGAACATTCAAGAACATTTAAAAAGGCAGCATTTAAAGAAAACCTTGTCTTAGAGATATCATGAAAACTAACACCTTTTTCTGCATCCTTAATTGCCACTATACTTAAATTCACAGATGCACAGAGCAGAGGCAAAATATTTCACATACCTATAGAGCATGAAAATACACAAGCAGCACATGAACAACTTTGCAAACTGAAGGCGGGAGGGGGAGGAGAATATTCTCCCATACTCAAATAAAAATATTGCCAAGCCTAACAAGGTCAAATTTTCAACAGTCAGTAGTACAGTAAAAACTCATTATAATGTCTCTCAATTCTGTCTTTGTTTACCACATGCCTGTATAAATCTACCATGACCCTATTGATTTCAAGGGGATTACTCCTATGGTGCTTGTATTACCCCACTACTAAGAAACAAGGTCATATACCTTTGTGATATCTGAAGACTGCATCATCTCTGCCAAAACAGCATGAAATGATTTATTAAAATACGAATGTAATTCACTTACTGTGAACAGCTACTTACTAATGTCAAATCCTTTCCAGTGATTGCTTTAACAAAGTTATCTTAGTCAGGTAATAGCAGCTGTAACTAAATTCCAAATGCTCCGCGTCCATTTTAAATGTTGATGTATAATTGTCATCTGGTTTTCAGACTCAAGTAAGGCTCTTTTAAATCATCTTTCACTGGCCAAAGTAAAGTTGTGATTTAGTAAAATAACCATGTTGATTTTGAAAAAAGCATGAGGAATCATACTCATTAGCAAACACAGAACAAAAAAAAAAATCGAAGTGCCTTCTTCAGAATCCTCTATACAAGCCACACCAGGACAAAATTTTTTCAAGTTCAAAGTATCTGCACGCACCCATTTTATGCATTAAATTTATGCCACTAACATGTACACTGAAATTACGGTTCCTGTGCTCAAGCTAAAGAAAATGTGAATCCAGATTCTTGTGTCAATTGGCACATTAGAAAAACAGGGTCAAATAGATGAATTTTCTTAGCATAAATATCTTGTCCTTTGATACCGGCGAGTTTGTTCTGTGGAGTTCTGCCACAGGCACTGAGTCCTTCCTGTTTCTAATATTATCACCAGCAAATACTTCATCCTCAATTTTCACTAGAACATATGCTTTGGTTTTAAAAAAAACATTGTGATTGCATTTCTAAATACTATTGGTTCAATTACCATAGCCACTGCAGTTTGAAGCAGTTATGAGACTGAAGTTTCTCTGCCATTACAAGCACGTAAATAAAAGATCCAAGTAGTTCCATATCTGAACAGGATAATCAACTTAGTTCAAAATGCCAATTTTAATGAAACTATTGCATGCATATTTATAGAAGGAATTATCCCTAAAACACACTAGAAATGTGCAGGATCTTTATAACTAATCTTCCAAATTTGGTTTCAGTTTATCTGCATGGCTCAGTACAACTAAATACAGGGAGTGTCAGAAAGGTTCTTCCCCAGACACCCTCCTGCTTCTACAGGGCTCCCCATCACCTGCTGAAGAGTGGTAGAGAAGCCAACATCTGCTGGGCTCTTCTACCCATGACAAACAGCTTGTAAATCTACATGGCACCACAGGCTCTTCCAAATCACCTGCACACAGCTACATTTTCACTTTGAGGCTCTGTGGCTACCCAGCCCTTTACTGTTTGAAATACTGTAAACAGTGACTGGCAGCAGAAAGTTGTTTTTTTTTCTTTTTTTTTTCTTTTTTTT